ATTTAGGTAGATTGATGAATCTGTTCCCCCGAACGCTCACAGTTTCTCTCCTCGCTCGCTCGAAAATGGTGTTCTTCAATCTTCGTTGCCCGAGCGATAAGGACCCAGATCCTATGGTACAAAGATTTTCATGCTGACGCGCCGTTCCTAGCGCCTAATTAATGAGTTTGAATTTTTCCGGCGGCTAATGGAAAGACTGCCTGCGCAGCACGTAGTCAAAGGAACCGGCGCAGTATGAAAGATGAAAAAGCGGCATCAAGGAATGGAGGTTAATACGCGAAAGTTTCGCGGCTTAAGGATATGAAACTGATGAGGTCGTGACACGATTTCGTCAATTCACGATCCTCGTTTTCTCCCAGCTATTCGCGTCTTATCAAAAATTTCTTGTACGAAATAAGAATGAAGGTGGGACGCTTGACTGATCATCGATAGAGGCGTAGGCTTCGGTTGATGGAGATTGCTCGGTCTTTCTGACACGCATGTTCGAAATGTGAAAGGCTGTATAAAAGATTCTCATCAGAGACGCAAAAGATGATACTCTATCGATTGGTAGGATCATATTTTCAGAACATTCATTTTAATTATGCATAACATTAATAAAGTTATGTGTAATATTAATAGCATATAATTTCTAAAAAAATTTATTTAAATATCTGGATAAAATTTTTATGTAAAATTATTTATCATTATTAATATAATTGTAAGCTAAATTCAATTAGAAAGATTTATAACTTATGTGTATAATATTAGAATTATGAAGAATTAAAAACAATTATACCTATAATCCTCTAAAAGGATTCAGAAATATTTTTTATATAAAATTTATTTTAGTAATATAAAAAAATTAATATAAAATTATATCAATTTTAAATATTTTTTTACAAAATATAAATTTTTATTACATGTGGAGGAAAAAATAAGCCGAAGAAGGAAAATAAATTTTCTAAATAAAAAGTTTTATTTTAATATTTAATTTTTATATTAATTGTAAATTTACTGAAGAAATTTTTTGCAGAAAAAAATTTATATATAATTATGATATTATCAAATATATATTTGAATATTTCCAGAATAAAAGAATAATACTCACAGAACAAAAATAGGATAAATACAAAAGGAAAACGGTGCATTAGGCAAGAAAGAAAATAAACGAATAGAAGATAAATTCAGGAAAAGGATACGAACAAAATGTGAAAGGTGAGGAGACCAGTTTAGACTTGTTGAAATGCATCGTGCATTCTGACAAAAGTACACGTTTTAGGAACAGAATGAACATATTCTGTTCAACAGACATCGCAAACCTACAATTGTTAAGTAAATACTGCACGAACGGAGTCGCATGTTAATTATCAAAATTGGACTGCCGACCAGCAGCTTTTATCAATCTCGGGAACTTACTTTGCGAGATAAAAGGAATTACCACTGGGAATTTTACAAGCTCCACTATACTTGTCTTAAGCTTAAAGAGAATAGAATCCAGAAACTTGTTAAACGTTTGAATCATCTTAACTTGTTTAAAAAAAAATTAAATCGCATTAATAAAATTGCTCCGCATAGTGGAATGAAATTACAATAAATTGTCAATGATTTTTTAACTATTAAGTTAAAAATTTCATCAGAATTATATGACAGTGTATATTATTAGTTTATTATAAGATATTAAACATTAACAATCATTTATTTAAAATAAGTGACATTGCTTTTTAAGCGATAAAAGTGCATAATGCAATTCTATTAATATAATTGATTGAATGATTGTAAAGAAATTTAACTTTAAGAAAATAAACACCTTTCTCCATCAGTAACAAAAGTATCGCTTGTATAAATGTAGAGACAAGATTTCGAAATTGATAGAACGAACAACAAGCCTGCAATCTTTCTGCGGATTACGTCCCTAGCGCGCAATTTGAAACATCGACACACCCCACCCTTCCATTCTCGCGTCTATCACGCCCGACCTAGTCGACGGCAATAAATCTAAACTTACGGTGTATCCTTGGATGCAAATTCTCTCACAGCTGTGGAAATTCGCAATGCAATGTCGCCGTTTCTTTTCTCGCGTTGCGCTTGCCATTGTACATATGTATTTCTATAAAAATGTAAATTATCTCATAATCAATATATCATTTATGATGCTACAAAAATAATGACAATCGATAACGAAGAATATGTAATAAAACTATACGAAATCGCAACTTCAAAACTGACGGAATAAACGAGACAATTTGCGTGAGACTCATCTCGTCGCATCCCGAATGCACGCCTAGCGCACAATTTGAATCATCACCTCCTGCTTTCCACCCGCCCACGCAAAACCTTTTCTATCCACACGTCCATCGCGTTCGACTGGCTCGATGGCAATAAATCCAGACTTACTCTTTATCCTATCGAGGCTTTGCCCGCCAGGGTGCGAGCCTCTGGCATTGTCGCGGCTATATCACCGGCCAAAAAGGACGATGGAGGGACGGCGTGTCGCGCGACAGGACTCGACGGAACCTGAATTAAATTCTGAGATTTATCGCGTCAATAACCGTACATTAATTTATGATTTTTTGCGGTGAAGAACGTAAATCCACGCGAGCGAGCTTGCACGGTGCACGCCATCGTCGCGCCAATTGTTTCGCTCTACGTGGCGGCGATCCGAACAGAGGAATGGGTATAAAAGAGAAACGCCACAGGGGAAGAGGGCAAACACGCTATGTGTAGAAACACACAACAGCTGGAAAACTATATTGATAGTTTTGCCGACGCGGAGGTGGATTCGCGGCGTGAGCAACAGCAAAGTAGGCTATGGTAGGACCCAGCGGCGTGTTCCACATCTAACTTATATTGACCATTCAACATTCCGCACTCGTAAACTACGACGTTCGCCGATCATTCGGACGCAAAAGTAATCGAAAATGGTATATTGCGGTTCCGAAAAGGCCTTTGAAGTCGTGTACCACGAGAGAAAATATCTCCGATTAAAATTATCCGTCCATATTTAATACTTGGAAAATGTGACATTACTAAAAGACTATTAAAACTGTACTTAAATTATACGTTGAACTGCGCGTTGAAACGCGCTTCGCCAGCTTACGATATATTTCCAATAAAGATTTAATCTATCGGACTGATGGCTCGTTGTTCGAAATTTACCTTTCGTCTGTTTCATTTCAGAATCTGTCTTACGGTAAAGGAACAAGCTTGAAAGCTCTATTTTAATCGCTATCCTACACATGTTTCGTACTAGTCATCATGTATGTGACATTAATTTATTCTTTATCTTTACTCATTAGAGAGATGTATATACATAGTATGAATTTCTTCACACATTTTTCGCTTCCGCTCAGATACGTCCTTTGATCGATTAATCGTTTTAATTACGGGCGGCAGGTGTGCATTCAAATTGATGCATAGAGTGGAAGTACCGACCGACTGCAGCCTGAAACGCGCGTAATTCCGCCTGCCTTCTCTTTTATTCCCTTTTACGTCCTTTCCTTTTGACAACCCTTCTTTGAAACCTCCTCTTCCCAAACGAGATCGTTCTTTTGCTTTTTTTTCAGTGCCTATTCTTCGCTCTACGTGTGTATCACGGCAAACGTCGTTTGCTAGACTTTTTAAACATAACACATTAAATCGCGGTTCCATGCATTATGCATTAAAATGATTTATCTTCGTGAAACTAAACATTTTCAGTTTAGTAGATTAGACGACAAAAAAAGGAGAAAGATCGAAAATATATATATTTCCGTTCTAATATTTATTTTTTCGTAGCTTGATATCCATTGAAATAAAAATTAATTTATATATAATGCAATTAATATAATAATAATTTATATATAATGCAATAATATTAAGATTTGCTTTCTTCTTCGCTTTTTATATTTTAATTGCTTAATTATTATAAATTATTATATATTTTGTTAATTATAAAATCCATCTCACATAAAAATCTATATTCACCGATGCCACTATATTCAACATTTTTTTAATTACTTGCTAATTTCTTGTATACCTTCATCCATCACAAATGAGAAGACAATAAAGGGGGAAGAGATCAGTACTGTCATCTTTACGCCGGCAATTTTTTTTACGGGCAATTAATTCCAAAGTGTCATACATCAAAGTTCCGCCTACGTCAATAGTGGTCTACATCAATCACCGCGCATAGTTGATAGTATCATAGATAACGCGCGACTGTAGTCTTTTAAAAATTTCCACTCGCGATCGAAAAAAGATTCAAGATAGCCGCTGGATAACGAAAGCGTGATGGAATCGCGTGGCGCGGAATTTTATTCGCGGCGTACCCTGTCTACTCTATCAGTCGAAAGGATATTTCCTTGCCTTAAGCTCTCGCCGAAACGACTGCAGCTTCCAGAGGGGGAGGAAAAGCACGTCGCGCGTTCCAGTATTCCTAATTTTGTCCGCCGGGCGCTACTGGAATCTTAATTATGAGGAAGAATTCGTTGGGGGCGGTCCGGCAACCCGGTCCCAATTCGCCCGACAATGTCGCTGGTACTTTTCCTGGGAATATGAGCGTTTCGAAATTTAACTGCGCTTGAAACAAATTGAGGTCTTTTGCTGCGAACCTCGTAATATTGCGATAATGACAGCATAGGCAGGGATGAACATTCTGCTCTCAAAAATACTAAATATCGTTGTACTCGTACATGTGCATTATTTCAATATTCATTATTTCCTAACAAAAGGAAAGAAAAAAGATTGTACATCACATATCTTTATATAGGTATATCATTAGTATAGATACTTGTATAAGGAACTTTATATAAAGAATCACTTAAATTGTATCAGATTAAAATAACGCTAGAATATGTTAAATAAAGATTGAAATATATAAGAGAACTTTTAATTGAATGATTTTTAATACAATAAAAATATAAAGTGACAAATTTAACTATTAAATTTATCATAATATTATAATTTAATTATATTCTAGACACACTATCTCTCCATTTATATTTTATATTATCTTATGAAATATAATATGTATGTTACAGAGATTGCAGAGTCGTCAGAGATCCCCAAACTTTAAAATCCAAGGGATATGGATTCGTTTCGTTCGTCAAAAAAGCGGTAAGTACATGATACTAACCTGATAATATCATTTTGTAGCGGAATTACCATAGCTGAGATAATAAATAGATTTTCTTTCACATGAGCCTTAGCTATGGTATTTTTTTGCAAGATAAAATCATATTTAATTATGCATATACAATCATTTGTTAAAAGTAGTAGTTTTATCAAATATATTAAAGAAACATTAAAAATACTTTTCTAGCTAATACTTGCAAATTATTTCAACTTAAAAAATTTTAAATTCTGATCCATGTATAGAGATGTATAGCTCTTAAACACACAGCTCTTATATATGAAAAAACATTTCCTTTTGATAACAGAAATTTGTTTTTCTATTGAAAAAATTTAATGAAATAAATTCATTATTTAAGCATATATGTATCTATCGACATATTTTAATTACCAAAAATATCAGTATTCTGAATTAACTTCGGGATCTTACAGATTTTACAAGAAAACTTTGTGCATTACGTTTTCTTGCGACATTTCGTTTTATCAAAATGTGGCTGCTTTCAAGAAAGTCCGAAAATAGTTCGTTTCAAAGAAAGTCGCAGCATGCAAAGTGCGTTGATTAAAGGAACAACATCCGTAACTCCATATCTAAAAGATTACAGTCAAAAATAAAATGACAAATTATCCGGGTCCTTGTGAGAAGAGAAGATAAGAGAGTTCTCGATGCACATTTTATGTAAATCAGACTTACGGTGGCATATAACGGCCAGGTAGATAATTCCCTTCCGAGCAGCATTTTAATTATCACATTTAACTCCGACTATTCCGAAAGTCGGAAAGAACGAAGAATGTTTCTCAACCACTGCGACTGCGAAATCGCACCTGTCACTTCCGCAATACGTCAAACTTGTGTGATGCTATCTTCCCGGTTTCCGCTGATCAAATAAGTAGGAGGCTCTTGACCGTCACGGTTTACAACATCATTTTTTGGGACTAAATGGAGAGTGGCCGGAGTTTTATTATGACCCGCCAAAATCCGCAACGTAAATCACAGCGAAGTTAGATGTACGGCTGAGTAAAAGAAGGCTTTCCTCCGTTTATGGCGGAGTTATTCGTCGAGACGCCTGCCCTGAAGGTAGACCCTCTCTCGTTTCCCCTCTGTTTTAATGCCCTATCGATCTGGACCACCGCCGGCACCTGCCTCACACCCGCGGTATTACTATTGCCGAAGTATAAATTTCCCGAGTGTCTCCGTTAACCTCGAGGAACACGCGAAAATTTCGCCCCCTTCCCTTCCCGCCACTATCCCCATCCCCATTCCCCTCACTCATCCCTATCCTCCATCCCTCTCGCATTCACCGACCAGTCCCACTGCCACTATATCCTTCGACCGCCGGATACACGTACCTAAATCGCGAGCTCTGATCGCCCAGCATCCAACATTCTGGCTCTTTTAAGATGTACGAGGAAATACGAATTCTCAAGATTCTCGTTTTTCTTCGGGAGCAATCTTGAGTTTCGAATGCTGCATTTAATAAATACCAAACTTTATAATGTCCCGCGTCAGATTTCTGTATGTTATTCTGTGTATTTATGTTTCGTGTATCTGTATACAATGCAGTTATCCAAGCGTGATAATGCGTTAACATTGGTAACAGTTTTCTCAAACATCACAAATAGATTTGTTATTTTATCAATTTAAAGGAAAATATTTATTCTCTTTATTTTGTAAGTTGATTTTGACGATTTATTTTGTCTCTCATTCAAGATAACAGTAAGTTAAGATTTGTAATTTTCAAATGTATTAGTAATACGTTATGTCAGAAACGGATATGGTACAATATCTACTCAAATGCGTAGACGGATTATATAGTTCAAGAAAATAAGAAAGATAGAGATAGAAGGAAAGAGTCGTGTCCCTGTTACTAGTTTGTGTTATGGTCAGTATACTTACACTATGTAAATTCTCAAGTCGCTCTAGTTACTATCAACTTTTATTGCTTTACTTTGATCGATAAATCGCGCGATATTATGACTCACGACCTTAAGCACACAAAAGTCCACTATCGTGCGTGTAGATTTATGTATTCTTCTAAATAAACAAAAAAGCAATTAGACCGTGATTGCAACGTATTGATTAACATTTTTATGTTTCTTATTTTATTTACGATTGCAGTCAAAATATCAGATGCAACCTAACCTAACACCCATGTTATTCAATATACGCATAAACCATGTAAATAAATAATCTTTATTTTTTCTGACGCAATAGAAATATGATATGGTGAACCGTAGGATTTTTAAAACAACAAATCATGTTTTTATTTGGTTCATGGAGTCATATAACTTTTATTAAAAATTGTGAAATGTGAAAAGTTACCAAGATTGTACTCAAGCTAAACTAAATAAATAATTTCAAACGTTACTGCTTGTAATAAAATGCAAAGAAATATTGCTTGTAGTTTCAAATTATCTATTCTCTCGAAAATCAATATTGAATCAATTAATTGTGCAAACAAAATTTACTTCAAGCAAAATTTATACCTCGCATTAATTTAAATTATAATTATACAAACTAAAAAAATACTCCATATATATTATTTACAGATTTTAATAATAATTATCGAACCATATATTACAATTAATAATAATTTTATAAAATTATAATGTACGATTTCTGAAACACACACACAATCTATGTAAAATAAATAATATAAATATTTTGTATATCTTCTGTGTACCTTCTTATTTATAAACATTAACTAGTACAACTGATATATACCGCAATTTATTAAAGATGCTTATATTTTTAAGTCAAGGATATATACATACTAGAATTTAAATAAAGTTTAAGAAATGATAAAACTTAATGTAATAGTAATAGTAGAAAAATGTAAAATTAAAGTCAATCGCAATTGGACTTGCTGCATCAGACTTGCTTGATAAGGAAAGAAGTTTCGTTAAGGCCACGTAATCCGACGGCGCGTAATGCATGTATCTGGGCATGACTTAATAATGCGTGTAAAACAGCTGGGTGTCGGTGCACGGCGCTCCCGTCTGTCTATAGCATCGCCGGCCGCGGAAGAAATTCGATTTGATGGGTGCTTGGACAGTTCGGAAAGCGGAGAGCACGAGGGGTAGAAACGGCACGGCGGCTAGTTGGTGGTGGTACTTGTGATATCACGTAAACGCCCTGGTCACGCTGGACGGAAGGGGGCAAGCGGCGGTGGTTTTCAGGGGTTGCGGGTCGGCGAGGCATCGGGGATATCGACCGAAGTTTAGAATCGGCTTAGAACGGGGCATTCGGTCGTCTGGCTCTATCTAGGCTAACCGCGCGAATGCGCCGCATCACATATCCAGAATGGAAATTTGAATCGGAAATATTTTATCCAGCGGGGGTGAGAGGCGCGAATGGCCGCGGGGAATAAGAATAGTGAAAAAAGGGAGGAAGAGAGAGCGAAAGAGAAGGTCGCAGAGAGCCACCGGCTGAAGTGTAGCCGTGGAAGAAAGTAACGGCTGGAGATGAGGCAAAGGCGAAGCCGAGGACTCCCCAAATGGCGCAAATGGTCGAGAGTAGGAAGCGGCAGAAGCTAGAGAGAGATTACTGCTGTGGAAGCAGGGAAGACGTAGGGGAGAGGACCGTAGAGAGGGCTAGAGGGAGAACGAGATACGTATCCTCCCTTCGTCTCGCACTATGTACGTACACTCGAAGAGCTTTTCGAACAGTAAACTTTTTCGGGGAGCTCCTCGCGTCGAGAAAATTTTTAGGTTCTGTCCATCCTCTTCGTGCCGTCCGCATACCATCGTCACGATATCGCGCCAACGATGCAACCGATGACGTGTGTCATACCGTATATATATATTTCTTTTGCACGAGCGCCATTGTAAATATCAGTCCAAACAGTGATTCAACCTTCGCTTTTGCCATGTTACGTGAATTTCGATAAAAATATTTCGCTTTGTTTTTCATACGATCGCGTAATGGATGTGCATGGATAGCCAGCTTGAGTATCGCAATAGGATCTGTTTTGTTAGAACGTTTACAGAGCTCGCACGAATATATAGTTCCCGCTCGGAAATCTGTATACATATCTATCGGTGACGTTCCCCTCTCGCCAAAGGCGATCCCATCCCTTCGCCCAGAAGGGAATCTAACGTCGCGATGGAAAATGTCCCGGATCGCCCGGGGCGGTTGCGCTCGGAGGGAAAATCCAAATCCGGGGAATCAAGAGTGCAGTCGATCGAATAAAATTTCAAAACGTATATTAAGTTGACCTGGATCGAGGGCCACGCTAACGGGATATCGCGGCTGAATCAACAATAAGTCGCGGATAATATTGACGCCAACATACCTGTTGGTTTTATCCGCGGTTTTGCGTGTGAATGCGACCCTATCCTTCCGTCTCGCGTGAATGCCATCGTGGTTCTTACGACGCCTCGCAATTGTTGTTATAGACGTTGCGAGAGACAATAAAGGAGCTTTCGCAGAGGAACTGCACGGCGCATCGCGTATTTTCATTCGCTCCTCAATAAAATTCCTTAGAAGCATTCCGTAATACGTAAATACACATCAACTTCTTCTTATCTTACATAATTTTCACGATTATTACTTATTGTGGAATTTACGTTAATTAAATGAATTTTATGCAATTTATCAATTAGCTACTTCGTTTTTACATTCTGTACTATACTGCAAATTTTTTTGTATATTTTAATATATAACATTGCGATGCAAGTTTCGCAAAAGTTAACTGTAACTGCATTTATATGCATTTATATGCATACATTCAATAAGACGATTACAAAATAAAATGAACGTATATATATATATATATATATATATATATATATATATGTATGTATATACAAAAATATCTTGTATTTCCATTTAAATGTCTTTTGCAAAATAAACAGTTTCTTTGATTGTAAAAATTGAATTAATGAATAAAATAATAACAAAAATCGAATAAAATTATGTAAAATTCAATGTAAAAGTGCTAGATAAAGCTACTATAAAAAAAAATATTTCGCTATAAAACTGAAAAGCAACAATAATTAAAAAAGAAGGAATATAAGATAAACACAAAATTTAATAAATTAATATTAAAATTTATGCATAACTTTCTTATGTTTAATAATTAATAATTTTTTCTATTTTTAGTATATATAAAGTTCGCCTTTAGAATTTGCCGTAGAAAATGTTGATTTTTCTTGTCTTTTTCAGGAAGCAGAAAGTGCCATCGGTAACATGAATGGCCAATGGCTTGGTGGCAGAAGTATTCGGACAAATTGGGCCACTCGCAAACCTCCCGCACCTAAATCCGAAGGTAAGTACCTTCGTATTCCCATGACCGAGCGTTTTATTGCATACAAAAGTGTAGCATAATGCATGATTACTATCGTGATAAATGGTTTCCTTGGTATAGAGCAGATGAAAATATTCAATTGTCGTTACAAACGAACGCAAGCGCAAATCAAAGTGTATTACACATATTACGCAATCTTTCATCTAAAACAAGTAGGTTTCACGGTAGGTTTCTTATTTTACCGTCTCATTTTCCGAAATTTTGCAGTAGAGTTGCAGTTGTTACAGTAGAGTGAAAAATACAGTATATCGAGATCCATAATCATTATAAACACATATTATCAATGAACAAGATGCAGAAATTGCGAGAACGACTACGAGAATTTCAAACGCCCTTCTCAAAAAAAGAAAATATACTAAGTATAAGATTTTGATGGCAAAAGCTGGAAGTAATTTTGACAAGCCTAGCGGATAGAATATCGTAACGATGCAATTTCGAAAAAGAAAATGAAAGGGTCGATACATATTTTCAAGTACTCCGTCAAAGCGTTATATTTACGTCCACGGCATGCCCCGTCATGAATACCAAACCGGCGCTGCTAAATTAAATATCGCGTTCGTTGGTCGCGAATGCGGAAATTTCGCCGACGCAACCGGAATTCGATTAGGTCGGCGAAATTCTACCGCGCACAAATGGATGCGCACGGTCGCGTTATTCTGTGGAGTTCGAAAGGTCCGCCTCTTGTGCAACACTCGGTGAGTCGTTCGCACAGAAAGCTTTCACTATGCCATTCAGGAAAGCTCGAAACGGCTTTACCACGAGCGGTTACTCTGCAAAGCGGGCTCTACAAAGGCAACGCTAGATGTTCGAGTGTTTGTTAATCGATACCTTGAGATGGACTCAAGAGCCTTTTTTCAATGGACCGAAGGCGGAGGAAGGAAGAACTTCTACTCGCGTCGGACTATCATGTTCCCAGAGTACTGAGATTGATTTCAAAGCCCGGCAAGCGACAGTATGGACTCTGAAAATTTCCCGTAACACGATGGGGATCAACAAATATTTTCTTCTCTCTCTTTTCGAAAATGCGTTGCCTAGCAGTAAGTCGTAAATCGCAGTTCACAGACAGTATCAAATTCAGATGACCAAGTATCATTTTAACAAAAGAGAATTCAAACTACTAGTGAATATATATAATTTATATAAAATATTTTCTGAAATATAACAAAGAAGAATATATTTAAACTCTCTGAAAAATTGGAATATATATTATATATTTTATTATATATATAATAATAATAAATCGATAAATTTTATTAATAAATAATTGTAATAAATTTTAATCAAATATCACGGATAAAACATTTGAATAGCAAAAAGAAATGAACTGTCTTTGCTTATGCAGCATCATTGCGGCCAATGAATGAGTTGAAACGTTCCCTTTCGCGATAGTAATTACTTGTATAATTAGGATGGTTTGAAACAACGGCAAGATGAAAGCCTTGGCTCTCTTAGTAGGGATAGTAAGAATCCAATTGAAGTTATGAACTAAACGCATAATGAGCTTGGAGGTAGCACACTCCGAGACCCCAAGTAAGTATTATTATATTATCATAAGCGGCTCTTCGTCGCGCAGAGTCGAGGACTCCATCGTCCATCCTTGAGAATCACCCCCGACCCCTCGGCTAACTAATTTCATTCCGCAAGTCTTTAATTAGTATTCGTCGCGAGGCGTCCAAACTTTTTCACTAGACGAGGGCTTGCAAACTCGACCTACCCGGATTGTTCACCCGTATTTGCATAGGCCAAATTCGCAGAAAGTACTTTCTTGCTGGCCACCTTTACGCGGTTAATATTCCTCGACGAACGTACCCTAAATTTCTCATAAGCGAAAATAATGATCTTGAAGAAATCCACCTTGTTCGTCTTTTTCCTCGCCGTAAACATCCAACGTTCGTAACAATTCCTGCGATCAAAAACGCGATCACGTGTGGAAAAGTAATTTTAATTTCTAACTTTTACTCTCTTTTCTAACTTTATGACCGAATCTATATATCTGAGGTTTCTATATAAAATCTTGCATCGCGTTCAGATTGCTCTGCATTTTATTAACGCTATTTCTTAATCAATACACGTCAATATAATTTAAAAATTTGTGATAAAGGCAAATTTCTAATTAAGTTAATCTATGCTTTTTCTAGTTAAAAACTAGTGTATAATGCAAAAGAATATCTCCCAATTACCTTATTATGTGAATAATTTAAATTCTATTTTCGATTAAAGCAACAAAATTGTGCACATATGTAGAAAAACGTACTCGTATTTGAAATCGCTCAAACATTTTCATATATTTATAAGAAAATTACACAAACGCGAGTAAATATTATGCAATAAAAATATTTGATTTGATACATTTTCCGAACTCAGCGCTTCATTATTTTACAACAATTAACATCTATAATTTTAATGATTATTTAAAATAATATTTCAGTTTCCATTTAACAAATTAGATTTCAAATTTAATTAGCAAGTAATCTCTATAAATAAAATTTAAATACTTTTTAATTATATTAAATTACTTTCTTTTTAATTTGTTTTACGATCATAAGATATTTAAGAATCTTTCGACGCACATGTTTCTTAAAAATATTACAATAAAATAATTATCTATTTAAAACTTTCTATTTTCTTAAAAGTATGTGTTTAAAACTCTTCATTTTAATTATTCTTTAATTATTTTTAATCAAAACTTATAATTTTTTGATGACTAATTTATCGAGTAAAGAAAGTACTATGTTAAATACAATATCCCTCCTTAAAAATTTATAAAATCTTGATCTTACGAGTTCTAACAAAAATCTCGTTTCAAGTGAACGACTTGGCATGCTTCAGGCAAATTCTTGCATTGTATCGATAGCCAATCGTGTTGAACTGAGTACGTGTACTCAGGTATATTCGCGATATCGATTTACACACTCCAAAGTCACTATTTCGCATAATATCGTCTATCTGCGCCGTAGCATTGAATAGTAACTTCTTGCAACTGCTTTACAAAAGTTAACAACACATAAAGTATAACTCTTGCAATGCATAACCAATTCTGTGAATAACAAAATATTTGTAAATCTTAAAATTAAGTAAAAGATAGATAAATTTGTCGTGTTTTAAAATTCTAAAGTAAAATCATATTCTCTCTAGCGGCATGAAAAATATTCCATGAATATTTTTTGGAATAATTATGAAGTAGTCTGAATAATATTTTTAAAACAGAAATCACACAATGGGCGTTTTTCAGCAAGTGACACAGTGTATCACTTCATCCTTGTTGATTGCCGAATGTAAACAAGGATGAAATGAATCACTCTGTTACACTGTATTCTCCGTGTCGCTTGATGAAAAATACTCAATGTCGCGTTACATTAATAACATTTTTTATTTTATCTAAAAGAATAACTGTCTTTTTAATTTTTGATTAACAAATTGCTATAATTATAAATATTATTATATTAAAATATTTTTATATGAACATTTCAAATTTTGATATGTATCTCTTCTCAAACTATAAAAGTATTATTTCTCCTTTGTATTGTAAATTATGCTCTTCTTTATATACCGCGAGGACTATAATCGTATAAAAAAACATTAATGTAAAAATTATACGATAAAACAACATTTAATTAAACTCCCCCTTTTTGTCCATTATATTTTATAACGAATATCAAGCGATGCATATGTAATTTATCGTAAATACAATTCATCGTCATGCATACCGGAATATGTGTGTGGAACAAACAACAATACTGTGAACTCGCTCACCTGCGATAAATATGATATCAAAGAAGCTTAGACAGATAAATAAGTTAAGAACGGGGGGTAAAAGAAAAACAACGCCGCGGAAATATCGAGAGGTATGAAGCTCGAACTATAACGCAGACGCATGAAACGCACATTCAAAGAAAACAGAAGTCCCGAGTTCAAGTTTATCGGCTAGCGTTTTACTCGGTTGAATTACACGGTGGAGTTTATATGGCCACGTACTTTTCTACGCTTCACTTCAGTATCTTTCCAACAACATCTCAGTTAGTTATGCCAACTCTCATCTGCAAATCCAAAACGCACCATAACCATCGTGCCAAAGCTGATCTGCATGCCCGGACGAATATACTCGGAATGACGTTATGGCGACTGTGTATCAAAGCTTGGATTATGTATACTTGGACAAACATCGACAAGACAGCCAGCTATCACGCGAATAAACAAACGAAATCGACACAATTCATTTTGCATCGCGCGCAAACATGGTTCGCGATACGTTAGGAAGAGGAATGCTTGAATTTCTGTCATGTTTACCTTGTAAATAAGAAGCAAAGTGGAAAAATGTAGTATAGATAATATCAATTCTTGGTTATAACATAGGGAAAAGAAAAAATGAAAAGAAAGTTAGGGAACAGTTGGGTCGTGCCAGCATTTAATTTGACTGAGTCCCAAAGTTACCCGGCAACTGGGCCAATATTTTATAGTCGTGGCAATTAGATAATTTTGCGGTCAGGCAAAAATATGATTGCTGGCGTGTGAAAGGACAAACTTGGGCGCGGGTTAATGTCGAAAGTTTGTATCGCCGTCGACGTCGGATCGTACGTAGTCAAGCCTTGCCGAAGGCACCAAACGAAAACGATAACGGATATATATTATTTCGGCGACATGATATATCACAATAAACGTGATATTTTTGTGTCCGAATCGAGTGAATATATTTTATGTTTTCATAACTTTATTTCCACATAAAATCTTCGCGCTCCAATAACAGAAAATTGTCATTTATTTTCGTCATCAAAACATATGTTTCAAATTCACTTTTCTTATTTGAAAAAATAACATATTTATCATATTGCAAAAATATTTATTTTATAAAGGTACGCATTGCGACATGTCCTAGAAAAAAAATACAGATAATTACAAAGTGAGACATATATGGAAGAATTACATTGGAATTTCGTGCATCGATGCAAAATTCTCGTATTTCA